TTCGGAGCTGCTTTCGCAACTTTTATGGTCTCATGGATTGGTGTATATTCGGCCATACATTTTGACTGAGTTATGGTCGGTAATACTTCACTATTGTTCCGAAATTTGAAATTAAATTCTGATTTATATAATTCGGCGATGTTTTGTCTTCCGCTAGTTTCTACCATTGTTGATCAGTTGTTTGATATATATTGGAGATCAAATTCATTTTGTTTGTAAGCCATTTATTAATTTATTGTCACTGTTCTTTTTTTGCTAAATTTCGTTTTCTGCCTTATTTTAAGCAGCAATTTCTATCTTAGATATAATAATTTCGCAATGCTCGCGCAGTATTCACCCTCATAACAATAGCAGATAACTTGGTAATTATAACTGGATAATGAATAAAAGTAAGCGGACCACGAAAAACCTTTTCTTAGCAGATGATATAAATAACTGGGCTTTTTCATTGGTTTTATTATATATATATATATATATATATATATATATATATATAAAATAAAGAAGAAAGAAATGCAGAAATCAAAAGTCTAGTAAGTTTCAATCGCAAAAGTTACTTGTGTTAATGGAAAAAGATTAATTAGTACCACTCACTGAAAAAATTGAGCATATCTAATTTTCTTTTTTCGACTAAGTTTTATCGTATGCTCTAAGGAAGCATAACCTTGAGTCTCAACCTTGCTTCGCAGTTTGAGACGACGTTGTCTATAATAATTAGGTAAGTTTAAGATAATAAGTTTTCACGGAGTTTATCTATGTTTTTCAAGATATTCCATTAGCGAACCTTGAGAGCTGTGTTGGACAGTAATTATCCAATCATCCAAGGTTCAAGGTTACCGAACTGTTCTTAAGTATCAAAGAATGAAAGAAATATTCTTGTGCCTATTTTTCTTTTATACACATTTTTTCATCTCTTCAGTCTTTCTTCACAGCTCAATCATCTTGGATGCAGTAGCATATTCTATTTCAATCATCCATCACTAGTAGATGGGATTTCGCAAGAATATCACCTAAGTGGCACTTATACCTACTGTCACTGTTACCGGTCATAATTTTCACATTGTGCACCAAAATAAATCATCTGGTCGAACATATGTGGTAATCCACGTTGAGAAATAAATGCCATAAAGATTACTGGGAAATGGTAGTGCATATATATTTTTATAAATTAGTGATGCACAGCCACCATTGGCGTTTTAATCTCCGTGGCTCCCTACGAATTTTTTTTTTGGAAAAAGGGCTTAGCTTCTATATAAATTTTTAATTGTTTTTCAATCTTTTTCAAATTTTTTAAATTCTAATTTTTTTAGTTTTAAATTATTTTAGAAATTTGCATTATTCCTTAATTTTTTATGCCCCTTAATTTGTTTCATTGAGAAAAAATATTTAGACAATATCTAAGCAACGAAAAAAATCCATGAAGAGCATAATTTTTCAGATAGAGTGGTCGGAAAGATACTTTAGTTAAAGCAATAAAAAAATTTTACGTATTATTTGTACCAGTAAAAAGAATACGCTGTTTGAAACGCTGTTTTGGAAACAATCAGATTTTAATAAAAATATTCCGGCAAATTAGGGGCACAAAAAAGTTGCTTTCATATTCATTCGCCAACAACTCTACTAAATATATTTCATTTATTTTCTATTTTCTAAAAATGACGTTGAAATAAGTTTTACTATATCTCGGTTAGCCGCAACATTATTAAGACCTTTTGTATCATAAAGATGCTGATTTTATAAGTATGTTTGATGAATGCATCCAAAAGCTGTGTGACACATTTTGAAGTCTTTATTGTTCTCTTTCTGTTGATGAAATTGATGCAATATCAGCTGTCTAACTGGCTACATTTGATCGGGTCATCATTACAGAATTTGAAATTCATTAAGGACTTTTAGAAAGCTTCTAGAATTGTGCCAGCTGCATCAAAAAAAAGCCTCAGATACATGGTTTACTCAATAGTTTGGATAAATATTAAAACATTAATTGGAACTCGCAAAACCCGCCGCCATAATGACCGATGGTGCACCTGCAATGACTGGTAAATAAAATGGGATGATATCTTTGTAAAACAAGGTAAAATTAGAGACTCGAATAAAATAAATAAATAAAAATAAAAAATAAAATAAATAAAATAAAAAATATCGTTGTATACATTATACATCAATAAATTTAGCAGGAAAGTGAATGGGATTCGGTACTACAGATAAGCTGCAGTAAATTTTTTATGATCTAGCGTTTAATCACCGCAAAATTCAAGGTTTTTCTGGAGAAAGTTGGTGCAAACTAGCGTTATATACTTATCTAAAGTTCAGTGGCTAAACCAGGCAGAAAATTGGAAAATTTTTTGGCTTTATTTGAGAAAGTTAAAAAAGTTCAAATCATATGCCATTTTGAAGATTTAGAGTTGTTGGCGTTTTATTGATATTTCTGTTCATTCACATGAAGGACTTGAAACTGCATGGAAAACAACCTTATATTGGTATATAATTATAATTATGTGTGCACTTCAAATGAATCGTGCACTAAGAACTCATCATTTTCTATGATTCTATGAATATTGTTGGTTTTGTGCATATCTCTATAATTATCGTCTTTTACATATTTTTTGCAATCGAAGTTATTATTCTGAAATTGGAATATTTCCAGGGAGAAGTGGGTGTGATAAGAAGAATAATAATTATGGAATCGCTTAGTTATAAAGGATTTAGTGAAAAAGAAATTCGAGTTGGAAAAAGAAAAATTACTTTTTTAATTTGTTAAAATATTTACATTATACTATAAGTATTGGCTACTATGATTGTCAGAACTTCTACAGTATAACCTGGATTCTCTGTCATTTCGTCGTATTAAACAAATTTTAATTTATACTTATAAGATTTTGTATGGTTATGTTAAATTGTTCAAAATATTATTTTAGGTTAAATTAAAATCCAACAAGAACTAATGGGCTAAAATTACTAAAACCTATGTGTAAAGCTAAACTAAGGACTCATGATTTCTTTATTCGTAATATTAATTACTGGAATAAATTACCGAACGATATAGCTTGTGCGTCATCTTTAGCTATCTTTAAATAATATCATTTATGATATTATTTAAAAAGTTCAAATCATGCAGGAAATTTGGAATCTCGATTTTTACCATCCGATTATGGTTATTTCGAATTGTGCTATATTATTTCCTCTATTTCTGCTTTAAATTGTTAATTTTTTGTCATATTTTCTTTTTTTTACCATTAATTCTTATTGTTATTTTAACTGACATTATTAATAAAAGCATATGGCGTTTGTCGCCCTGCTTGGCTGGTTTTCAATAAATAAATTGTCAAATATATACACCATAAGAAAAAATAATTAGTGAAAGAGAATCGGGAATCATTTCCTTTGGTTTTTTAATTCTTTTACTTTTTGCTTATTTGACTTATTAGAACGCTCGCTTCGCAAGCTTTTTGGCTGAGTATATCTATATAACTCTCTACAGTTTTTCAAAAATACAAGCAATTCCCTGCTTCTTACGCCAGTTATATTGGGAAAATGCAGTTAGTTGAAGGAAATTTCCAGATTTACAAGCTGACGTTTTTCAAAACTTTCGCGAACAATTTTGATATTTCATGTAAAGAAATTGAGCCATGCATTATGAATTAATTAACTTAATTAATCAATGCGCCCAAGAACCAAAGAAAAAATTCAAGGAGGGAAATTTATTAAACTTCTATAAGCGCCAGAAAGAAACTTTTTTAAAATTGAGAGGAATTGCAGCTTTCTGTTCCTGTTCATGTTTATTTGAAAGCATATGTTTGTGATCATTGCTTGCCTTGCTGCTTTTGAATGAGAGGTATAGTGAATTTCAACCAATAAAACATAAAAGGATTTTATCACTCTATGTTTAAATTGGCACAAAATTTTGCCAAGTATTGGTTTAAAAGATCGAAACATATAGACCAAACAGAAAACCATGTGTAGAGAATGCCCAACAAGTTTTTCATAATTCGTTCGAAGAATCATTTGCGACCATTAGGCTTTATTTTCTTTTTGTTTTTCTTAAATCACTGACCACCTCTGATTACCATGACCTGCTAGCAACCTGTTATTCAGATTAAAATTGTTTGGTGCTGATTATGTAATTGTTAGTGATCTTGATATGCTAAACATAGATCGGCAAAATAGTTGTTTGAAAAATAGCAGCGAATTTGAAGAGAACTTTCTGAAGCTAGCAACGGAGGAACCCTTTCGCCAGAGTGTTTTTGTTTTTTTGAAAAAGCACTTCCTGTATGCACTTTTGCAGTTCGCCAGAAAAAAATATGTTCATGATAACAATACGATAATTCTCGAGATCTACAATATAGTTTAGTATCAAGAAAATTTTTTAGATGGAACTTTTAAGACAAACTGCTTACGGCATTGAACGTGGTCATATTGCCTAAAATTGCGCATTGCGTTGAACATGAACGATCAGCGGTGTAAAGAAAAATTAAAATTTATCATGATTTTATTCCAGAATTATTCGTAAGGTTGCAATTTAAAAAACTAATTTAATTAACAAATAAACAACTAAAGAATTTTCCAACAAAATTTTATTTTAAACTCCATATTTTATTAACTTGTATTTTCTTCCCATCATATTATCATTATCATTGCTGTCAAATGCTGAATGAGTCCATAAATTGGGGCCATCTGCAACAAGCATGGAAACATTTTTCCTGCCAGTAAAGAAAATTAAATTTCATAGCGTTTAACTTTAATATAAAGGGAACGAATAAGAAAATTGACGTGAAGAAATTTTTATTGAAAATTCACCGATCTCTCTTTGGTATAATAGATGGAAAATCATAACCGCTGAAGTTGAGTGAGTGTTTCACTTTTATTTCTAATTATTTCGCTTCTCTTTGCTCACCACATATTCACTGAAAAATTTATAAAATGACTCACAGAAAACAAATTAAAAAAATCTTGCAGGTTGCCGAAAATATTCCATGTGGACTTACTGGAATTAAATCTCTGATATAGTTTTCTAAAGAATTTCCCAAGTACTATATTGTTAATAATAAAGACAAACATTCATTCAGCCTAAGTTATTTACTCAAGTACTTGCAGAGATTTGCGAAAAGGTTAATACCCTTTAATGCCTTCAGTGAACATTGTGGTTTGACTTCGGTAAATGTGAATAAAAAGAAGGAAGACAATTTTAAAGAAAGGCAGTTTAAAATGTTTAACTTCATTTGCTTTTCTGTCACTTTTCTTATTTCCTTATATTTAAATATCCAAATTATTGATACTGCTTTTGCTATTTTTTGGCTCATGCAAAGGGATATTTACCAATTTCTTGAGCCATTTATTTACATGACTCGTCAAAAATGTTATATATAGCTAAATCCATCTCATTTGCATTTTGACCACTTTTTGAACCACCGACAACGCATGGTATTATACTCTGCATTGCTGAATTATATATTCTTTGGTGTTATAATATTCGGAAATCTTTGTCGTCAAAGTAATCGCCTTAGCAATTCACGCAGAAACGCATTCAGCGCCACAATTTACTTTCTTCACAGTCCAACAATAATTTATATAATTAATTGTTTAATTAATTGTATAATTAATTGTAGCGAAATAAATATTTGTATCAAGAATTATTGCACTTGCGACTAGAGACTTCCCACTTCGTTGGAACGTTTCGCCAATCAACTAGTTGGGTTAAATCAGTGTTCAAATTATTTTCCCACGAATCCTCTAGAAGATACCATAAATAGTCCATGTCCATGGACCTCCAATGCAATATTTTTCAAGTCAATAAAAAAGTGGGTAATACAGTCCGACTAAAGGAATTTTTCCGCTACGAATTATTTTATTTACTCAGTTTTCTTGCGAAAAATTTATAAAACAAATTCAACGGAATTAATGACATGAAAATCAATAAAAAATTTTTTTATTTATGAAACAAAAAAACAAAAAAATTAACAAAGAAAAAAATTAACCAAAAAACATTTTTCATTCGGTGAAGTGCTGCACATTAACTTAAGCCACAGAACCTACATTACTTTACTATTAATCGTAACCTCTTTATGCGACCGCTTCTCAACATGCTTGAATTTCAACTTTCGCCTTTTCTTGTTAGATTTTAATTTTTCAACGAATACTGGCAGCATATTCCTCTTCTGCATACTTTTGAATCTCATTGCTATAATATTATCCTGAAATCTTCACAACTTTTTTGGTTCAAACGATATGGTACAAATGATTTTTCATAATTTATATAGTTGCAATACATTAAAAAATCCAGAATGCTTCAAAAAACAAAGGATAGAAAAAACCAAAGAAAAACCAGACGAAAAACAGTGAATTAACAAACTTGTGGCTGTAACTGACATAAAGATGAAGGTAATTCCTCGGGAAGCAAAAATGACTGATAAGGTTCTGCAAATTTCCCTCGTCCCAACTTTTTGGTACCATAAAGGCTTTTCAAAATCTGCAGAATATCTACAGTGAAATAAATTTAACTACTTTTAACCTAAAGAAAATTATGGATATTACGGATGTGTTAAATAAATGAATAGTTAAAGAATCACAGTAAATTAAGAATAAATTGCGGTTTTCAAATTCATTTTAATGATCACTTTTTTCTCCTCACGTAGTTTTGCTCGTTCCTCAATTTCACTAAGCTGCTGCATTATTTCTTTGTTAAATCGTTTGACCCTTAAAAAAAAAAATTGAATTTTCTAGCGCTTATATGAATAAAATTTCAAGAGTTTAATGAAAAAATTGAAATGAATAGATGTCGAAATGTCATCTGAATGACCACGAATTCAGGTTATGTAAGGAAAACTCTTGAATAAATAAGGAATGGCATTAAAAACCTACGAAAATATTGCATTTTCTTGAATCTTTACAGCTTTTTCTCTTTCGATAGAGAATCTTTTTCTCTTTTCTACCTTTTCCTTGCGTTTTGCTTTCATTGTCTTCGTTTTAGATTTATTTACTGTGATTTCCTTATCTAAAATTTGAATAAAAATAGGCAAAATATGAATAAGCCAAAATATAAATATATTTGCCAATCTTAATCATAACTTTATCCTACTTTCTAGTTCAATAAAATGTAGATCAGATCGAAAAAAATGTTTCATTTTCAATTTCCAGAGCAATGAACAGAAAAATAGAAAAAAAAATAACAGCAAAAAAATTACCACCACTATCGTTTTCCTCGTCATTACTTTCATCACCATCAAATAAACCTGCCCTTTCCTCGGCCATTCTATCTTCCTTAAATAATTCGTATGACCGATGATATTATCTTTTTTTTCAAGAGTTTTACAACAATCAAATTTCCCTTTCAACGGCGTTTCCCGTTTCTGTTTTGGCTAATTTTACGTAAAAACAAAATTTGGATCCCAGAAGAAACGGATTTCACTTTTAATGGTAAATTTAATTTATTCAAACTCGCGAATCGAATGAACATGATTGCTCCTACCTAATTTAAGCTGAAGAGAAAACCTCGACAAACGAAGCATTACAGAGAGAAAATTACGAATTTCTGCTTACTTTAATAACAAAACATTCATTCGGAGCGATTCTAAGAGCTTTCTGAATTTTATTCTCTTCGTTACACAATTGTATTTCATCAGCAACAATTGAACTAATATATTTCTGAAAAACACCGTTTTTTTTTTTTTAAACAAATTCCTCATTGATTAAATCTCATTGATTAAAAGATTTAAAATTATTCAAAATTATTCAAATTTGAAACACCTGGTAATCGGAGGCAGGTGGATTGTATGAAGTACCAACGGATGAAACTTCAACTGGAGGAAGGAGACTAGGAATTTGCTGAAGTGTTTTTGGCCTTTTCGGCAAGAGCTTTTTTGTCGCCTTCAAAAAATATTCTTTTTCAAAAGAAATTCCCTTTTCATCTCCTGAAGACATAGCAAAAAATAATAAAACTCTAATAGATTTAAAAAATAAAGTATATAGAGAAAAAACAAATCATTAACGGCAGTATCAAATCGAAAAAGATTTTCGATTATGAAAACAATACCATCGGCCCAAATATCATACGGCTGTAAGAACTTCTTTTTCTTTGATAAGATTGCTTTCGGCTGGCGCTGCTTTATAGGAAAAGATCGCAGCTCCTTAAATGATCCAATATCTTCCGGCATATCGGAAATTCTGAAAAAAAAATGGCAAAATATGCTCAGTAAAAGCTTAACCTTCTTAACCTTGAGTTTTTTATTTTTAATTTTATTTTTATAAAAATCTTTTAATGAAAATACTTTTTTAGTAATTGACGGTTATTGATGGTTGCTTTTTGACGTCGACTTAAAGAATTTTTTTTACCACTTCGATCCAACAAAAACAAATCTTCATCTGTGCATTTCATGCCACCTACAATAGCCTTTTTGAATAATAATGAAATCGAACAAATGCAAACAGCGGAAATGAATATAAAAGAAATGAATATAAAAGAAAGAAAATTGGATGAATTAAAACTGTAAAAAACAATGAGAAAAAAACTGTGAAAATTTTTTAAAAAAACAAGAAACAAATGAAACAAATCAAAAAAAAGTAAAGTAAAAAGACGCCCTCTTGCTCGTCAAAACATTTCGCAGTAAAAACCTCAACATCCAATCATTTCGCTTTCCTCCAGTGGCGTTTTTTCGTACGAAATTTTCTCATTATCTGCCCTTGCATAAGTCAAAATTGGATTAAAAAATTACAAAATCATAAATCAAGAAATCAAGAAACAAACATATATTTATTACATGGAATGCTTTCCGACTAAAATTGGAAAAATTTATTGCATCTAAGAGAAAAAGAAATAGAGTGGAATGATGAACGATAAGCGCTCACTGGATGTATGACGACTAGAGTCGGCGATGCCGCAAGGCACTGTGCTTATCATGTACGCAGCTGGATAACAAGCTTCAATACTGACCGCGCAGCTTTGCTCTTCCTCTCTTTCTGCTCCTGTAACTACCTTGACTAAGGCCAAATCCTTCACTACCTATCTGAAAGTTGGAGCCTTTATGAATGGTCACTTTCGCACGGTAAAAGACATACTGATTCCTCACAAGGGAGGCTGCATTGTAAATTACATATTTTAAAGCCTATGGAATCTGGGATGGTTGGCATTGCTATTTTAGGACCTATCTGATCTCCCCTTTAATTCCTTTTTCCTTTCTTTTATCCTTCCTATTCTTTCTAAATCTTGCTCTGTCTTCTGTTCTATCGCAATGCAGCCTTCTCGTTATTTCTTTTAGCACTCCACATTCCACAATCTCAAGGTGAAGTGCGACAAAACTGTATACCCTCTCACCAATAGGAACCCTCAAACAAAATCAACAAAAAAAAAACAACTATCCTAATCAACAAACTGATGGTAGAGTATTTCCAAGCAAAAACTCTGAGACTTCGGCAGCCGATATTTGAGAAAAGTCGCGGTTGGTTGTTAAGAAAAGTCAGTCGAAACACGTAACTAGTCTTTACGGGCAAATCGATTTGGATATGAACGTATGGCCGTAGAAGGATGGGCCTTCTTCTATTCATATGTGGATCAGTAACATTAGGATGAGAATTGCAGGGGCGTTGCCACTGGTCCTAAACTGGTTCATATAGTAGGAAGGTTAAGGTGTTATTTATTCATCATTTCATTCTTTCATTAGCTGGCACAGTTGCTGGTTTATTCTAAGCCCTTTCCACTGGCGATTAGGGCAAGATATTTCCAGACTTCTCGATCAGATGCAGTTCGTGAAAATAACAGAGGCCGCTTTTTTCTCCACCATATAAGCGCGTTTATCGTAAGGCGGCCTTCAAAATATTCAAAATATTCAATATGCATTCAAAATATTTTCCCTGACCACATTAGATAAGTCTTCATTGCTCTTCCTCGCTTTTGAACTTTGAAAGTTTAGGAATTGTATGCGTAAGTTCATGTGATGTACGGCTATGAACATGGCTTAACTAGTGCAGGCGACGATTTTTGACGGTATATGTATCATATATCTCTACACTTGGTGCAACTCTGATTGCAGCTGGCCTATATCTCGACTTTCGCCTGACTTCTGAGTATGAGAGTGAACTCGAGAAAGTGTGACGCTTTGATCGTTGATGAAGTTTTATAAATTTTCAGTGTCTGATGCGATTAAAAGCGTTTCATCTTAAAAGTTTCTGCTTTGATTTGAAGGGTAGTTTCTGTTTGTTAGCATCAATTCTCTCTGCATTGTCTGTTGCGGTTCCTCGCGGTAACTGTCAGCGAAAAGGACAACATTATCGGCAAATTATTTATATATATATATCTCTGGCAGGTGTTCATAACTCAGTCTGTCGTTGAAAATTGAAAGAAAGATGATGCAACATTGGTTCATATTTCGAAGTTTTGAAAGGTTCGCATTATATTTTGTTTTTGCAGTGATAACAGCATTTAGTAATGACCAGTAAGAATTGTTATTGTTAGCATTGTTCTTTCTTATCCTCTCTTTCTCGGTGGAATATTTATACGAAGTTATATTATTATTAAGTTATATTATAAGTTATATTACTAAGTTATATTATATTATTATTAACTTTTATAGTTCCCCATATACTCTGCGCTGAGTACGCCAATAAAATGTTTTGAATAAATAAAAGTTCAGTTATCTTCTCTAAAAACCTTTCATATTGCATAAATTGCCACAGCACTACCACATCCTAGCGTAAGCCCTTCTTGTTTAGGTTGAGTCCTTTTTCCACACATTGTCATGGGCTTACCCAATAGAAGCGTGGCAAAAATCTCCATGGGAACATCTAGCAAGCTGATTCTTCGATGTCATAGTACGTTTTCTTCTTTTTCTTTGTCTTAGAAATTGCCTTGTTCCATTCTTCACATTTTCTTCTGCCAAATATAATCTTTGTAAAAAATACGGCAGCATTCGAAGAGTTCTGTTTCGAAGATCATCTCTGCTGGTTTTATTAGTCCTAAACTTGTGAAATGCGGAAATTATTTTCTGCGCACTTGGTGTGTTTCGCATTTGCAATCGTATGGCTCCAAACACATTCCATTCAGTCATGTCTGAGATGTTGAATGGTCCATCGTTGTTAAATTCAGTTTCAAAGAATTCTAAATAGAGAGCGGAGAGTGATTTGTTGATTTTGATAGGATTTCCATCTTCATTTCAAGTCATTTAACTGATATAGTCATTTAACTGATACACACCATTTCTCAAACTCCGATTACTTTGCACCCGAGCTTCTATGTTGGAAAACATATTGGTTTTTGTCCCATCTCACCACTACGAATCTATGAAGCTGTTGATAGTTAACGTCTCCAAACCTGCGTCCTCTGGCAACATGATTAGTTTGTTTCTACCGAGAACCAGCTTGCCTTCCTCCAAGTCGTGTATTCTGGATTTGGCCGGCTTCTGGAAGTGAGAATTCAGCCAAGACCAGTGCCTACTGCAAATTCCCGAGGCGTTGCTGTTGCTAAAGCCCTTTAGGTTTGTCAGTACCTCAGCATGAAACTGCCCTTCTAATTTTTTAATTTGAGGCAGTCGAAAGATTTTAAGAATATTGTTTTGCGCACTACTAGTTCCATTTGGATTTTGGTATTATATAAACTTGATTTTGATTTTTTAAATATAATTCGGATTTTGCAGTTAATTCTAAAAAACTATTGTGTAACCTTATAATTCGAAAATTAATGTCTTCCAATGAACAGAAAAAACTTTATTACTTCATTGCATACTTAAATCATCTCCATTAAATAACAAACATAAATGAAATGTTCATTTCATATCACCGATAGGAAGCCAAAATTCTTTCCAAATATAGTAGGACCACAGTTCAACAATGCGATGAAGACCATTGAGAGAATATTTCATAGAAGGAAATTATTTGTTTATATTCCTCTTTTTAAAGTCATTAATCAAGTCTCGTCGCCGAGAAAAAAATGAATCAAGAGAAGAAAATGAATCAAGAAAAAAATGAATCAAGAGAATGAAGAGAAAAAATGAATCAAGCAAATAAATCAACAAAAGTTGAATTTTCATTTGTATATCACTGGTTGGGCCATGATTGTTGCATCACTTCGAATCAATAACTGTTCAAGATTATACTTTTCATTTAAAAGATTCGAATAGCGTTTCTGTAATTCTGTTTCACGGATCTCCTAAACAGTGCATTATTTCTTGAGTTACTTAATCCGAAATAAGCTCATCCATTTCCAGGAAACTCTGCCAAGTTTTAATAAAATCTATTTCTGTCCTAATATTCCCATACTCTGGAAATTTAATTATACCTTTGAAACTTTGTCCATGCCAAATGTCTTTTCCCTCACTCCCTTGATACTTAATCCTCCATACCCCTTCAAACCTTCCAGATTCCTCAACAGTTCGCTTCGCTGACAACTTCCGGACCTATTTTGGACCTTAAACACTCTTAAAATTCCGCCAAGTTCTCTCTCCATAAAATTGATTGTTATTGCTATTTTCCCAGTTTCATCAGTATTAAATATCGTCGCAGATCCTTGACAAGTTCTTCAGTATCTATCATCCTCTTATAATCCGAAACATCCTTGATCCTTTTTAATTCTAATACTTATACTTTTTTTTAAAATTAAACTCTTAAATATTTTGTTAAATCCATTAGACCCTTATCAAGTCCACTGTAATATTTTAATATAATAAATACATGAAATCCGTCGTATTTTTTTCGCTAGAACTCACTAACAATCCCTAAAAATCCGACAATCTACCTAAGCAATCTCGGCCTGCCGTAGTGAATTTCTTTGACATCCATCAAAATCCGCTATATTTCGTGAAAAACCTCTATCAAATTACCTCCTTGATGCCTATAAATCGCCATTTCTATCACAGAACTTTTTTGTTAAAACATAAGAAACATCATTTACAACCTCTTTTCTGCCTCTTTTAATGGTTACATCTAACCATTTCTGGCTAGCTCCGCTGATTATTAGTACGGTTAGAAATTTCACCATGGAGTTTGGCGATCATTAAATGGTGACAGAAGTACACCAGCACCACCCAGTATTTTTTAATGAATGGTTTATTTTTCTCGGGCCGAACACATGCTCAAAACGAATCCAAACAACATCATATCAGTCAGCCACCGCTTTTTTCCACTTTACCATTTTTAGACTCAGTTATTTCCGGGTAATACACTTAATACCTTTTTTTTGTTTATGGCCTGTAAAACTGCTACCCACTTCTGGTATAGATGCAATGACAAGTTACGAAATTGCGAAAGGTATGGTAAATCAGAGTGGTGACGGAGTATGGCAAAAGCTGAACCATGTTAAGCAAGAACTATAGAGATTTAAAGGGTAATCAAGGTGCTAAGTGAATATAAGGGAAAATGAGTCGGATGAAATGGGATATACGAGGGTGCGAAGATAATTTAACCATCTAAAAGACGTTTCTTTAATTAATTTGATTACTAGCGAAAAATTTGGATAAAAATGATTACTTGTGACCTAACTTCATCCACGAGTTTACTAAGACGTTTATGTATTGAAATATTTTCGTGCATTTCAAGTAATTCGAATGTGGCTTTTTCACGACTGCACGCTTCTATTTCGGATTGAGCTTCCTCGATTTTCTTTAACAGATTTTGCGCAATACTCTGAAAGAAATATTCCCTGATAAATTTGATGAAAAAATTTTATTTAAATTTTTAAAAAATAAAATTTAAAAAAATATTTTCGAAAACATTTCCCAGATAATCCACCTGATAGCCAGCTAAACGGATTTTCAGTCGCTTTTCCATTTTCGCTGTCTTCTTTGCTCTTATATTCATCCAATCACGGTATAACTGAAATACTAATAAATTAACGAAATAGCGGGTTAATATAAACCAATCTTTCTATCATACATTAGTTTTCCCACAATAATAGTCAAAGTTAGCATATAAAAAATTTTCTAAAATGTAAGAATGTAAATGTAAATGTAAAAACCAACATTAAATTTGGCGCAAAGTGCATCTATCTGATCTTTTTTGGGTAACACACCAAGTCGGGTAAACTTATTTTGAGTGAGAATTAACTCAGAAGAACACTGGTCAATTACACTCCACAGATTTGCATCCAGTACCACTTTTTCCTCCTCAATTAAATTTTAATAAATTTTTTTTAATCAAGAGAAATAGGTCTTACTTCATCAAGAATTTTTTTCCACATCTTTTTAACCGCTCGATTAAATATTTTTTTCAAAATTGAAATAAAATATCGAGTAAAAAAAAAGACTTACAGCCTTTATCTCATTATCAATTACAGAAGCCGCTGCAGAAAGGCTCGTTAAATTGAAATCATCAATGGTTTTACCATTGACATCGTGTTCCAAGATATTCAACATTTCAGCTTTTATTAAATCATCAGCCTGTATCATCTTTATTTATGTTTTAAAATAGGTGCAACAGTTTGTAAAATCTCCCAATATCTCACATTCAAATATACTGTCTTTAAAAAATATTAAAGTTTCAGCCTTAGTTGCATTTCCACATTTCATCACGACATATTTTTTCCAGTTTTGCCAAATATGATAAATAGTGCAATAAAAAATCCAAGGTGAAAATAGAAAAAACCTTATTATAATCAGTCTTTCCAACGATTGGTTTAAAGCTTTGCTCATTAATTTTTGTAGGTTTCGGTAAATTACGCTGCAATACTTTAGATTCCCTTTGCAGCGCTTGAGTTCGCCGCGATTCATTTTCCATTTCACTTAGGGCATCAACCTAAATAATAATGAGATAGCAGGGCAAGCTAGTAAAAAATATAAAAGATAAATGATGAGCTCACATCACTAGCATCTTCTATCCAATCACTTATTTCTTCTTGTGACAACTCAAGCTCTTCCTCCGGCATCATGATTTCGTAATCATTTCGTGGAGCAGGTAACGAACTAAGCGCTCTTTTTAGCTCACTGCTGCGTGTTTCATAATGCCTGAAAAATTGAAGACTGGAAAATTTTGAAAAAAAATGGTTTTCTATTCCTACTTAAGCATAAAGAATAATTCTGGTAACAAAACGAACTTCATAGGATTATTGATGCATAGTTGGTCTCTGAATGGAGTTGCTGACGCTTGCAATTCAGTTGGAGTTCCTTAAATAGATTTTTTTTTGGTTATATGACATGTGAAGCTGCAATTTACATGAAATGCACAAATCAAATCAGTCAATAAATCTCTAAAACCTTCAAATGAGGAGCGGGGAGTATCCATTACGGCGGATAAAACTATGTTCGGTGTAGAAATTTGACGACTTTGCGGAAGAGCAGATTGTAAATTAAGATCATGTAGTGGAGTATTTATTCCACCTTTTAGTGGAGTTTGAGCATTCTGCAGTGCTATTAAATTCTCGGCTTCCTGAACGATAATTATGATTTAAAAAATATCGCATAAATTTTCATTGATACACTGGTGCATAAAAATACGAAAGAAATGAAATGAAATATAAAGAAATAAACCTTCTGAAGAGCATCAGCATGTACAGAAGGAGTCCTTATTACACGAGTTGCCGCTGATTCTCTGAATGATGCTTGATAATCATGAAGTAACATACTGAAATTAAATTTTCATTAGCAATTTTTATTTCAATTAATACAGTTTTTTATTAATGAACACTTTAACCTAAAACTTTTTTACTTCATTTAAACCATAACTCGAGCACCTGGTTGGGTTATCATCCGAAAAATCGCGCACAGTATCACTCGCTCGTCCAATTTTTACAATTTCCTCCATCTCTTTATCAGTGATTTGCGGCTGAGGCAAAATTAATTTCGAACGTTTTTTTTCGTTTTTCCTTTCAAAAATAGATTCCGGATCCCCTTCTGCCCTAAATAAATATATAAATATTAAATATTAAAAAATTAGTACTCAATGAAATAATTCACATTTTCAAAATAAAAAATGTCTAGTACCAAATGCGTATCTACTGCGGAGCTGAAACGGGCAAACTTCATCGAAAAAGATTGTGAACGCATAGGTAGACCAGCAATATATGGACTTAGACGATGAAAAAAGGAATGGCTTCCATCACTGTCGACGATGGCATCAGACCGAGCCGCTTGGAAGCATCTCACCCTTGTAACCATATCCTTGTAGAAGAAGAAGAAGTACCAAATACAAATCAAAAAGAATACAAAATTAAAATCACCTTCGCCTTTTCAGCTTTTCTCTATCTTTTTTTCTTTCTTCATTTTCGATATCATCTCGTCGGTTTCCTTCAATTTCAGCACGCGTTTGTTTTTTAAATGACTTGTCTTTTTCAAACTTATCTTCAGCTGGGTCATAAAATCCGACTGGAACCGGTTTTTCGAACGGAATCTAAAATTATGTTGATTGACTTTAAACAAAAAATAATTTTTAAAACAGTGAAAAAATGAAGGACATATTAGCTAACATTATTTTCATCTCCTGGCATGATGCAAATTCTAATGATACTATTAGGAAGTAAAATCTCACCAGAGATGTTCCTTAAAAGATATTCCTTAGAAAGAGAAACAAAGGAATATATCAATTTCTCAACATATTCACAAAAGTTACTTCGGAGCTGTAATCAATATGCGTTGGATTTTTCCTATGGAATTTATGTGCTCCTGTTAAAATACCAGCTGCACGCAATTCGCGCCGTTTCTGAAGTGAAGCAAGGCGCCGAGCTTCCGATAATTGTTTTTCTCGCGCTTTGCGTTTAGCCTAAAATTAATACTGACTAATTTATATAATAATTAATAATTTATAATGGACAACTACTGGAAACCCAGTTGCAACACCTCAAATGGCTCTATAATAAAAGGGTTCGGTCGGTCTTGATTCGCATTATACCAGTGGTACATGCTATAAATATGCAACCAGGGTATAATAAAACGATCCCAAGGCTTAAGAATAAGATGTGCTATCTAGAGCTATGGTAACTTGAAATCAAGGAAAACTACACGCGCGGCGAGGTGTTGTACAGGGCTGTACTACAGGGATGCACGGCACTAGCTTTAGCTACGTGGAATGCTTACGGACCAAGCGATCACTATCCACACTCTTTCTAGATATTCTGCGGAGGCTAATTACGATGCGTCCATCTGTTGTCCCTGACATGATTGATTGCTCGAGCCATACAATTGCGAACTGCTAACAGAAGAGGAAAAAATTTGTTTATCTATAAAGCCAAGAGCTGATGTGGGGACTTAATTCTTCAAATGTTGTACGTCGTCCTTCATAACACAATTTCAACAACTATACTTTCTGGTATAGAAAAAAGAAATAAAACCAAATGACTGGAGGAAAGGAATTTTGTTCTCAATTCCTAAGAAAAATGACAAGTAATTATCGAGAAATCAGCCAAACAGATTTCTGCGCGAAAATTTTCGCTTGTCTCCTATTAAATAAACTTATGGCATTACGAGAGAGCAGATGCATCCTAAACAAGTGGATTTAAATTGGGCGATAATTATATTAACCAGATATTTTTGTTAAGAAGAATGCTTATCGTCATCGTCGCTTGAAACCCAGCGTCATCCGTTTTATCGATTTTGCAACTGCACAGCGCTTTGGAGGGTGATAGAAAGCGATGGTGTTCTAGAGAAGATCCTTCGACACATAAAAGCGTTTTATTAGCGTACATCTGTGGGGAAATGACAAACCCTTTTGAAATAAGAAATGGTATAAGAAATGGTCAAGACTATATTCTTTCCGTTGCAATACTCAACTGTGTGATAAACTGGGTTATGGACATCGCTTGTCGGTATTTTATAGATATACAAATTAGATGTTGTAGTCCTTTTTGCTGATATCTTGCTGACAGTTATGACGAAATGTAAATAATAATGCTAAACAATGTCTGCAGCGAGAATTGGATCAAGGTTAACGTAAATTAAAATCTTTTCGTTCTGTACAGAAGAAGCTGATAGACTACCTACTTCAATTCACTGCCGGATAAAGAAGTGCTAGGTTTTAAATATTTTAGATCCACTCTAATCCCAAGATGCCAAGCGAAAGACGAAATTAGAGCCCGAATAATGGTAAATGGAAAGACGAAATTAGAGCCCGAATAATGGTAGATAGGTGTTTTTCCAGTCGGCTTTATGGAATCGCAAAATTACCATAAAAACGGAAGACTGCAGAAACGGAAGATCTATACAGCTGCAATTTACTTAATCTTTTTATATGGCTGCAAGACATGGCCGATGACGATATTAAAAAGTTATTTACCTTTGACCACTCACCACAAATCAGCTTCGCCGAGTGGATAAATCATATGATTATATCCAACTTCGTTCAAATATCAATATTATTACAAATTGTCGCCTTCGGTGCTTAGAGCTTAGTTGATATATAATTCGCTATTTGCTAAACTTTATGATGGGTGGTATCAAAAGTGGAGGAGGAGGCCAATCAAGACCTGGACCGATACGGTGAGAAAAGATTTTGAACGTATAGGTGGACCAGCAATATATGGACTTAGACGATGGAAAAAGGAATGGCTTCCATTACTGTCGACGATGGCATCAGACCGCACCACCTGGAAGCTCTTACCCTTATAGCTAGTGAAGTCAGCCTCACCAGTAATGGTGAGATCTGATAGGTGAAAAATTTCACTGTAGCCTACAACAAAAAATTAAAAAAACGAAATCTAATATTGAAAAACCTAGATACTGCCTAAAAATTCTCTGAAAAAAAAATAAGAGCTAATTTTCAAAGCATTTACGCATTTTTGTTAAATGTTTAGCAATTATAATTGTTAATATTGGTTATCTAAAAGCTTTTTGAAAAAAAAAAGTTGGATATATTCCAATAAACATTAACCTTTTTGCCTTGTGTGTTTGCAAGTCTAGCACGAGCTTCTGAAAGCATTTCTAACTCATCTTCATCCATATCTATTGGATCAGGTCGTGCTGGCTTAGTTTCGGGAGTGGGATCAATTTCACCCGGCTTCAATTTTTTCGCTTCGGTAATATCATCAGTTTCTGTTGACTGCTCAGCCTTTCTCTGAGCCTGAATCAAAGGGAATTTTCGCACTAAATATTCTAAATATTCTCGAAAAGTGAGGTTTTAAACATGCAATCACAGGCCAACCTCATTCAGCAAATGCTCATAACGTTCTAAACATTGCGCTGCAGTTCGTCCGACAATAGGTGCAATCGTACGCCACTGTGTTGGCATGAGTTTTGCGAGATGCAGTAATTTTTCATCTTCTGTCCGCGACCACTCAGTTTTCTTTATACCGGGATCTAACCACTCATACCAGCGAGCCTTAAAACTTTCAATAAAGAAACAGAAAAATGACTAGCAGCAAACCAGCACAAAATAATACATCTTGAAAATGAAAATAGACTATTATATTTTCAACATCTGAAATATGATGCTTTAAACGATGCAGAAGAAAGCGACTTCGCAAATTTTCTATTTTAGGCAAAAAATTGAGAACAAATATGTTTATTTCACAATTCAGACCTAACCGATTTATTTCCAAAAAAAATTTATTTAGCAAAGTCTCATTTATTTTATACCATTTCATACGTACTTTGCATTGCTTAGCAGATTTTCGATGTAACAGCGAAGCAATACGACTCCACTGGTTCTTGCCATATTTCATGACAGCCGCTTTGAGGATTTCATCCTAAATTGAACAAAATTGGCACAGATTGATATTTATTTAATTTAACACTAATTAAACAAAGCAGAAATCCCTGTGTTAAAAAGACTTTTTTTCAAGAGTCACTATTACTGGTTAAACCCGCTCCGCTGGCTTGACGCACTGGATAAATATGCCAGGGAGTTACAGGTGAGTTACCGACATCACCGGGATTTTAGGACAGGTTTACTCATGCAAAAATAAAAGAAAACCTCAGTATTGTGGCTCCGAATTGAGCAACAACCCACTAACCATTCTATCTCTTGCTAAAAAGATTTAGACAACAACAAACAAATGAAATGCGAAATTCGATTAACCATATGGGGTATTTATCTTATTTATTTATTTTATTTATTTTTTATTTAATTAATTGATAAAGAACAGCTAAAGAAACATGAGAGAGAAAAATGAAAAACTGAGAAGCCTGGAAACAAAAAGAACGTTAAACAACTAGCATAAATAATTCCACAAGAGAGTTAAATGAAAGTGCAAAAAAGATGTTAGCAATAATTTTTTTCGACGATCTCTCATTACCTTTGGTCAAATTCTGCCTAGCTTGCCAAGCCAAGCAAAATTTTGCTAGAGGGCCATTTTGCGAGAGAACTAAAGGTTTGCCCTTAGCACCACTCAGGCCTTTAAAAAACAAATTTATTGCTGTCGAGAGCAGAACTGCGTATCTGGCGCTATATAATCGAAGAAACAACCCACCCACTAAGCCATCCAAACTCTAATGATATTTCAAATAGAAATATGAATAAATAAAATAAACAGAAAACGAAAAAAAGGGCAAAAAAACATAAACAAAATAAAATGAAAAAATGCGGAAGCATGGAGCAAGAATTAATTCAAAGATTATCGTCTCAAGAATAATGGTGCTGTGCAAGTAATCCACTTGTAATTCTAATCCCTAGTAATTCCTTGGCAAGAAAATCTCATCGTACTAAACAGTCAACGAAACAAACCTAACCAGAACTAATGAGTTCTTGGCACTCCTTTGTGCTTTTTTTTTTCTGTTTAAATATCGGAAAACTAAAGAGTATACAGACAGAAAGAGAATAATGAGCAGATAAAGACAATAAAAACCAAAAAAATCTTAAATGCGTGAGGACAAAAAACATTCTAAAATTATAAAATATCCAACAAAAAAGGAACTTAATCTTTTAAAATATATAACAATCTTTAAAAAATGAGTTGGTTGTCAGTTTTCTGACGTATCGCCATAAACAAAATTTTTATAGCTTTTGCAATCGATGAGCTAAGCACTAAAGGAATCCAATAGATGAAAACAGTGCCAGTGACAAGAAACAAAATTTATGCTAAAATAAAATGGTGATGAACATCTTCGATCTGTTAGAAATGCATTCATAACTGCCAAAAATGAATTTTAATATTACTTTTTAAACAATGATTCCTTAGGAAAGTGCTGTCGCTCTCTCGTCAAACTATGTCAAATTAAAAGCGAATTAATGAATTCAATTAAATCTAATCAATTTAATAATAGATTTTTATAATTTTTTTTGGTTTAATTCTCATTTAAATCAAATATTAAAATTTTTTTCAGCCTAAAGCGAAGACATACCTCAGTATTGCGCCAAACTCCACCTTTTATAATAACTCGAACCATCCTTAAATCGCTGAATATTTATCTGAATATGGTTGTCCGAATGGATCAACCACATTCAAACATTCGTTTCAAAACCTTTCTTTAATTTAACAGCTAAATATAAACCCTATACCATTCATAACTTGTAAAACATAGTACAAAATATTAATAACTAACTTTTTATTACAGTGATGGTCCTTTTTCGGATTGGCTATAGCACTGGCAATTGCACACTGGTACCGCAAATGGATTTTCTTCAGTGAAAGTTTTTTTAAGACTGGACTAGCCATCCTGAGCTGCGACATCGCTTATTACCTGTGTACAGACAATAAAGTTGTTCTCGACTGGGTAAATTCGTAAAAGTAATTTGTTCAAAACAATTTGATTATTGAAAATTTAAACATGAACATGTCCAGTTTAATTATGTCTCTTAATTATATCCCTAGAAAAACCGACTGATACAACCACAAGAGAAATTCCCATCACCAATCGACCATTAACTATTTCTGCAACTGCTAAAATAAAACAAAAACTATTGACCGACACATCCTTTGAGGCCAAAAATCGGTCAGTCTATGACCAGCACAACAGTGACCAATTATCAACTTCTCAAGAAGCAAAAAATTGTGTTAAGCATAGGCATAAGCTTGGGACAAAGACTCTCATTGATATTCCAAGATTCAACAAGTGGATAAAGATAATTTGTACAACAGTGTCAGGTACTGAAAAATCATTACTTCCAAAAATAGATCGACACTCTCCGATATCCCACTCGCCCAAAATACATCTTTTGACGATATTCATAATTCGAAACAAATTAATAAAATTTATTTTATTTATTTATTTATTTTACACCACCATACCAGTAACGCTCATGGCGACACTTCTCACACGCTGGCTCAATTCATCTTTTTTGGATTCCTAAAAGTCTTTCAATCAAAAGAGCCATCAGTGCACGTTGTATGTTTCGCAAAAAACAGAATGCCAAACCATTCAGATTACCGGAGCTGTCCAATCTCACAAACTGCAGAATCTAACAGCTTCATCCATTCGCATCAATTAGGGTCGATCTTTCGATCGAATTGTAACCATAAACATTAAATCACAAATATTCACTGAAAAGAGATGGATCGTCTTGCCTTTCAACAAGAGCTAGTTACTTAGAGGTGGCCTTCAATTCATAGGCGGACATCCTTTTGTATATCCTTCGCGGATTCATAGTGAGATAAGAAAAACCCAAATCGATCCTAAGCGACAGCGCCACCAATTTTGAATTAGTGGTAAAACTAATGTCTTCCAGAGCGCCATGGCAGGACGAAATTTAAGAAAGATTAATCGCCATTGTTAAAAACCTCATGAGACGTTCAATCGGTAAAAAATTATTATGTGAAGGAAATTTACTAGAAATTGAAGACGTAGTTAACCTTTAAGACCTTTAATCTATTTAGGTGAAGACTCTAGTGATATCTTGCGATTTGATTTGATTCGGACATCCTCGAACGAGTTATTTCTGAGCATGAATTTTGGTCACACGCACGGCGAGCTTCAACGTGTTTCCAAATCTGAACTTATATCAGTTATATCAGTTAAATTATATCAGTTCGGTTCCGCCAAGCTCAAATTCTTCAAAAATCTCGCTACATTAATTCTTTAAGAAAAAGGTCGAACTGATTCCATCAACAACGAAAGGCAACAGCAGATCGCTTCCGCATTATTAATGAAATTGTTGTTAGCGACACTAACAAACAAAAAGGAAGCAGATTTAGTAATTATATTCGATCGCCTGCAACACATTCAATTTATAAAATCGTCTTTCTTTGAAAGGGCGGTATTAAATATTCGGTTTAAATTTTCATCCTCAAACTTGGGTAATTATACCTCAAATCAACAAAAAACGAGAAACCTCAAAAATTACAAAAATAAATATTAAAAGACTTTACAGAAAACAGGAAATCTTGGGATTAAAACCAATAAAAAATAAAAATTAATTCTCGGAAAAATAAATTGTTTGCTAGAAATAGAGCCCTAGCACCCTTACCATACAACTTAACTGAAATAAGAGTGGAGGATATTAAGAAGCCATCTGCCTTTAACCACTCTTATTTAAGGTACATTTTACGGGTCCTTCGAGCGGATAAAACACCACATGATCGCATCCACCCTCATTCAAATACCATCTGTATTAATAATGTTTTTACAGAGCGTCGTCTTCGCTGGTTAGGGCACGTTCTTCGTCGTCCACCACAGGAGTTGACACATATTTCATCACTTGCTAAATCCTGATGATTGGCGTCAAAAGCGAAGTGGGCCAATAAGACCTGGACTGATACGGTCAAAAAAGATTTTTAATGCATAGGTGGACCAGCAATATATGGACTTCGACTATGGAAAAAGGAATAGTTATTACTACTAGCGATGGCCTTACCCTTGTAGCCAGCGGAGCTAGTCCAGCCAGTAATGGTGAGAGCTATTAGAAGAAGAAGTTCCGGAGTATATTTCGTACATGGAAAGTGAAAGATCTTAGAAAGTGGCTGTCCATTCCGCAGGTATAACCTTTTTTATCTTGGCTATAATCCTTTTGGCAACATTATCAGCGCCTTCAGAAACTCCATGTTTTCCATTTCATAAAGTTAACTTTTAGTTTCCACAGATGGATCCATATACCTCAAACTAACTCCGGTTCAATTCTTCTTTCGAGCGCTGTGCCATCTGATGCAATCGTCGACAGTAATGGAAGCCATTCCTTTTTCCATCGTCCATATATTGTCCATATATTGCTGGTCCACCTATACATTCAAAATCTTTTCTGACCGTATCAGTCCAGGTCTTGATTGGCCCACTTCGCTTTTGACGCCAACCATCACACGGTTTAAAAAAGTAACGAAATATGCGTCAATTCCTATGATGGAAAACGTGCCCTAACTAGTTAAGGCGACGCTCTGTGATAACATTATTAATACAGGTGCTATTTCAGCAAAGGTGGAATCATGTGCGATTTTATCGGCTCGTAGAATATACCTTAGACATGAGTGGTCAAAGGCTAATTGCTCCTTAATATCTTCCACTCTCATTAGCCATGTTTCACAACCATATAACAAAATCGAGCGAATTGCAGCTTTAAAATCCTTCATTTCCATAGTGATTTCGCGACGGTTCCATAAAGATTTCATCAACCGAAAAAAACATATTTTTACGGATCTAGCTGTCGTTATCCGGATTACAATTTCATTCTTTTCTTTTCATTTGAAGTGGCAAATTTTCATCAAAAATAAAAATCAATGTTTATTTACAACAAAAATTTATAAAAAATAATACTGTTGATAATAATAAAATAAAAATAATTTTATAATACTGTTTTAATACTATTGAGGGTAATTTTTCAACCTTTTCAAGCCGTTCTTCGTTGAGATCAACCATTCAGTTCCAATCAATTAAGGAATCAGGTCCAGAGTTGCTCGGAGCAACACCTTGAAACTTAATTACATTCAACTAATTTCATCTAGCTAAAATAAAATTTTTCCTTTCAATTTCTTTGGGAAATCCCTATATTTTTCTAAAAAATGTTCTTTGCCTGTTCGATTTTGCACCGATTATTGATATCAATTGTTGTTTAAAACACCATTAATTAAGAAGGTCAAAGATCAAGAAAGATCCAATTAACCTCTTTTAACAAATGGAGGCTTGAGTATTATCTCTCTGAGGATAACCTGGCTTTGATTCTATTCATCAAAAATTTGCCAAAATCTTGGAAAATTCTAAAACAAAGCTTCTTATCTTCATCACTGCAATAGATTGTGGAATACTATGGGAAGAAATGGAAGGAAATAGCTTCCAACATTATATTCAATGTTGATCCAGCATTATCCGTAAAAAAACAAAAAGTGAAAATAAAAGTTTTATCTGCCACACACTATATTTTTTTTCTTTTTATTCGTGATCCAAGGAATTTAAATTTTCGGAAGCAGGGCCCTGCCGGCCTCAAAATACAGAAACCATTCTAAGAACTAATTTTGTATTGGTATAATAGATACAATAATTAAAGTATCAGATAGGCGATTTTGTTCAATATATTAGACTGTAAGCTGGTTTCAAATCGGGGCGCGGTTGCTGGCCAGATATTCACGCTAAGGAGGATGTTGGAACATCGCTTCAGATATTTGCAACCCAATGTCACGTGTTTCATCGACTTTGTGGCTGCCTTTGATTCAATTGATAGAGCGGCGCTTTGGAGGGTGATGGAACGAGACGCTGTTCCAGAGAAGATCATTCGACTCATAAAGGCATTTTATGAGCGCACGTCGGCGCAGATCTGTGTATATGGGGAGCTGACAAACTCCTTCGAAATAAGAACTGGTGCCCGTCTTTTCTCCTGTAATATTCAACTATACAAAAAACTGGATGATGGACATGGCTGTCGGCACTCAACAGGTATCGAAATCGTCCAGAGCATCGTATCGCTGATGATGTAGTCCTTATTGCTGATAGTTATGAAGTAATGCTGAATAACGTGTCAGAAACTGCAGCAAGAATAGGACTCAGAGTCAATGTACACAAAACGAAAATCTTTTCGTCTTATGTGCAAGAAGCTGATATATTTTTGTAAATTCATTGCCGTTCGAGGAAGTGCCCGATTTTAAAAACCTTGGGTCCACTCTAATACCAAATGGACAGGCAAAAGATGACATTACAACTTGGATCACGGCAGCTAGAAATGCGTTCTTCCTGCTGACGAAACCTTTATGGAGTCGTCGTGAAATCACCATAAAAATGAAAGTTCGCATTTATATAGCCGTGATCCGTTCGAGCTTGTTATATAGTTCTGAGACATGGCCAATTAAAGTGGAGGATATTAAGAAGTTATCTGCCTTTGACCAATTTTGTCTAAGGTACATATTATGGTTCCGTCGAGGGAATAAGATATCACATGATTGCATCCACCTTCGTTCAAATAGCACTTGCTATTAATAATGTTATCACAGAGCGTCGCCTTCGCTGGTTAGGGCACGTTCTCACGTTCTCCA